GAATCATGTTAAAGGTGTGTAGAAGAAAATATGTATCATGTAAACCAAGGAATTGTTTACAATGTAATATTCTATAAGCAAGACTCCCTGTATTTGTGATACTTTTTAGAGTATTTAATCTCAATTATATACTACTTGCATATTTGAGTTATGAAATAAAAATTTTCTTATAACTGGCTTGAACATCAAATGCCAAGTCCACTGGGGAGTAAAAGGATTGTTCAAAAAATGTTATTCACATTTGGAATGGTGGAAATTGGTCCAAATTAACCTAACCTATGGAAATTGAATGAAATTTAAAAGTAGAATTGATCATTTACTACTGAGAGGTACGTATGCAGACTGATATACATTGTCAATTCAATTATTCAGACTCTATTAATATTCCACAACTCAACTGCTTTCTCATTTTATTCTATTGCAGTGCTAGTATTTGGAAGTTTTTAATATGCATCTCCAAAAGTATTGAAAAAAATACTAGATTCTTATCTCTATTGTAAGGAAAATAAGCACTGTGAAATAGTTAAGGGATATTTAGTTCTGATGGTGTTCAGCAAAGTAATCCCTTATCAATTTAACAAAGTAAGACACAAGAGGAGATTTTTTTTAAGCACTTTAGACACTTTTTCTTTACTTATAAAGTACTTTGAAAAGATAATGATATAGTTCTTCTGATCAGTTCTATTTGATGGCAAGCATGCAGATATTGAATGAAAGTATTACTATAGTTTGTGTTTTGGGTAAGGAATGCTAGATCAGTAACAATTGATAGTGTTTTTTCAGTATGTACATAATTTGTCTGCTTACTTACTGTAAAATGTATTTTTGTATTATAAATAGTTTTGTTTTGTAAGTTTATGGGAAAAAACAAATCAGTTTTGCTGATTTGGTATTCAGAAAATTAGAAATTTTCATTGAGTAACTGAGTACCAAAACTTTGTAAACTAGCTTAGAAACTGAATATTTGATTAAAATTAAATGTCAAATTATGTGAATTTATTGTCAAACCAACAGGTTAAAGCCTAAGCCACATGGACAATATTATGGATGAGAATTTAATGTAGTATTATTTAAATATTACAGCATTATTATATAAGACAAATACTAAGAGTTCAATTTAATATTACAGACTTAAATAACTGGCTAAGGAAAGTAGAAATAGTCCCTTTTTCCAATGAACTGTTTTATCTGTTCCCTGCCTTGCTTCTGGGTATGCATTCTTTATGAGGAGAGCAGGTTTGAAGCAAATCATTATATGAGTACTGACATTTGAATTATGCAAATTATAATTTGGTACAGTAGCATTTCTTCTGTAGGTGGTTTCACACTTGTTGACCCTTACCTCTTCTAGCCATTTGGGGTTTGACACTAAATTGAACAGATTGAGCACAAGTGTATTCAAGATTTTGCCCTATAAGCTGACTGTTCCGTTTTTTATCACTGATAAACAGTTCTGCACGTGCCTTTTAAAACTAAGTCCATATCACTGCTGTTGGTATTAGATGCTGAGATTAGAATGAGATTAGAATGCATATTATTACTACTAGACAAGGATATTGTGGATTGATGGTTCTGCTTCCATTTGGTGCTTTAGTCTTAATCCTTGAAAAAGTATCCAAAAATAATAATCTCATCCCAACCACACTGGGTGCCTTAGAGCCCATTGAGTGTTTTTATTTGCTGTGTCTTTAACTCAATCACATCTCGGAGGGATTTTGTATTAATAAACACTGGAAAATCACTCTTGTAGTCTTTTTTTTATATATATAAACTATTCTTGTGCTACTGAAATCAGTATCTTTAAGGGTGGAATTGTTTCTCTGGTATAGGGAGCTAGTCCGGTGTAGTGAAGAGGTTAGACTGGCACTTCAGAGACCCACGTTTGTGTCCACTCAGCCACAGAAGCTCACTGGGCAACTATGGGCCAGCCACACACGCTCAGGCAAACCTACCTGGTTGTTGAGGGGGTGGGATTGGTATGCATGCCTCCTGAGCGAAAGGCAGGCTATAAACATAACAAATTACATGAAAATAGTGCCCAGTTTTCCTTTATAGCTTTCTGAAGAGACAAACTTTATCAGTGCAAGTTTGTTTACCGCTTAGTGATCAAGGGAAAAAGTTAACAATGTTCTTATGATATTGAACAGTGCTGTACTTTTTAGAGGACTTCATGCTAGAAGGAAGTAGTACTATAAAAAGTCAATAGAAATTTCCAAAACGAACTGGTGACTTTCAGTCTGAGTAAATATGGTTCTCATTCATACTCTCCTCAAATTGAACAAGTCCAATCTGCTCAATTGGGTTTTTCTAGCAAGCTCTTAATATGGCCATCTCTGATGTTATACTGCTTTTGATTACGATCTAACTATGGACAAAACAGAAATGGTCATGGATTTAATGCACCGAGGAATTTATTTTATTAAATGTATTGGTCACCCATCTTATCACAGGATGACTCTGGGTGGCTTACAATATTAAAAATAGAATATTACAAAAATACACATACAAAAATATATACAAAATACAATAGCTAAAAGATGGGTAAGGAGGGAATAGGATGGTGGGGGGAGAAGTGGGATCTGATATTAAACTATTAAGCATCCCCATCCTGGAGCCCCAAACCAAACTCATGGGCGCGCGCGCAAGATATTCCAAAGGGCAGGTGCAATAGCAGAGAAGGCTCTTGGGGACCCCAGTCAGAAATACACTGACTGACGAGGTCTGCAGCATGCCGCCTCCTGCCATGAGTGGGCGGACAAATCCCAAGTGGGATGAGGTACGTTCTATTTTTATAATCGGGTAGATGGGCAGCCCTAATCATCATGCAACTACAAGTCGCTCTCAACTTACAGCCATAATTGAGCCCAAAATTTCTGTTGCTAAGTGAGACATTTGTTAAATGAATTTTGCCCCATTTGATGAACTTTCTTGCCAAAGTTGTTAACTGAAACACTGCAGTTGCTAAGTTAGTAACATGGTTAAGTGAATCTGGCTTAACTATTGATTTTGCTTGTCAGAAGGTCGCAAAAGGGGATCCCATGACCCCAAGACACTGCAACTGTCGTATATAACAAGAACCAGTTGGCAAGAATCTGAATTTTGATCACCTGACCATGGGGATACCAAAACGGTTATAACACATTTTTCAGTGCCGTTGTAACTTCAAACGTTCACTAAATGAACTGTACTATAGATCTGCCAGTACTATAAAACAATAACGTCAGTTTGTTAAAGATATTCCAGCTGATAATCTCTCTCAAATAAATCTGCAAATAGCTTTTTCCTAACAGCAATGCAGTACTCCTGGAAACTTTTTCTATTGGCATCTTTTCGCCTTCCCAGTCCAGTCTATGCTCCCAGGTGGTCTCTTCTGCAAATTCTTATTAGACCTGATCCCGCTTTGTTTCTAAGCTTGGCAGATTTCCCTATCCTGAAACCCACAGGGCAGAGCCAGTCTTTAAGCCAGCAGTTCTCAACCTGTGGGTCGCGACCCCATTTGGGGTCGAACAACCATTTCACGGGGGTCGCCAAACAAGGCTGTCCGCCATTTTTTCCCCCTTTTCTTTACCTGTGCTACTCCCTCTTATTCTATTGGCTTTCGAAAGCCAATAGAATAGACTCTCTTGAATAGAATCTAATTCTATTGGCTTTCAAAAACCAACAGGAATTGTCCAGGCTGTCTCTGCCCTGCTGAGACCGCCAAAAGCCCCAGTCTGCAAATGGTGCTGCAAGGAAAGCTTCCCTCCCTGCTGAGCAACTACTAAAAGTAAATAAAAGAGGGCCAGGGGTGGGAGGTCGGTGAGCGCAGGGAGGATTGCTGGCACGCGTGGGGCCCGGCGGGTGCCTTAACCTGTCTGGTCTGGGCCAGCTGGTAGTCGCCCTGCGCCGTTGCTGCCGCTTGCCGTGGCTGCCCAGGAGCGCCTGGGCCTGCCTGCCACCACCCCAAATGGGCGGTGGCCAAGGTAAGGCTAGCGGGACAGCAGCGGGTGCAGGGAAGGTTGCTGCCGTGCGTGGGGCCCAGCGGGTGCCTTACCTGGCTGGGCCAGCTGGTGGCCCAGCCAGTGGTCGCCCTGCGCCGTTGCTGCCCCTTGCCAGCTAGGCCTCAGCCGGCGCAGGGGGTGGCACCACGCATGCACAGCACTCCCAGGCAGGGAAAGTCCTCGACTTACGACCAGTTGGGTAGTCCTCAACTTACGACCTGTTGGGGGTCACGGCATTAAAAAGGGTGAGAACCACTGCTTTAAGCTTCCTTCGGCTTAACCCAGGGGTAGGCAACCTTGGCTCTTTTATGACTTGTGGACTTCAACTCTCAGAATTCCTGAGCCAGCCATGCTGGCTCAGGAATTCTAGGAGTTGAAGTCCACGAGTCATAAAAGAGCCAAGATTGCCTACCCCGACTTAACCCATCACTTTCCTACACCCGCAAATCAGCACTCCCAACTACACTGATGTCTCCACCAGGGCGCCGCTATCCGTGAACCTGCAAAATACAATAACAAACTGAACCCGTCCAGCGCTAGTTGCAACGCGGGAACCTTGCGGATTAAACTAAACGTTATTTCTAAAGAGGGAGAGTGGCAAGTGAGCCTCTGCTTCAGGGTGAGACTGCTCCTCCTCAGCTGTGAACTGAGCCGCGCACGACAGAATACCACAAACACACTAAAACTCTCTTCTTTCCTTCCTTCGTACAACTTGCCCGGCATCGCTGCAAGGCGCAGCTGACGTAAAGCACGGCGGCCTTGCCTTACGGTGTGGGGGGGTAATGCCGCAAAAGCTCACCCTTTGGCGTCTTACGGTTTCCCCCACTTCGCTTCGCGCCTGGCAGGTAAGGGCATCAACGTTGTATTATTAGCCCTTATTTTATACTGCACGCAGCCTTGAAGGGATAAGCGAGAAAGAGATACTTTCGCACAACGGGGAAATAAACGTTTTAAGAAGCTGGCGTTAGCAGCTTTCTTTGCCCCGAAGCCTTCGCAGTGTAAACCTGGGCAAGAAACCGGTAGCCCTCCAGGTAGTAGTGCAATATGGCCAATGGTGAGGGATGCTGGGAATTGTAGTTCATGGGCATCTGGAGAGGAACCGGTTTTCCTTACGCAGCTTTAATTTTCAAGGTTGGAAGAGAGGTAGGGAATACATAATAAATGCCGTTCGGTATTAAGGTCTACTTAATTTAGAAAGGGCAGATATTAAATTTCATTAAAAAGGTTGCCGTGCCAGTGACCCTAACCCTATTGATATAAAAGCTTCCTTAGTTTTTGTTTAGTTTTGCCTACAATCATATTTGGAAGAGAATAGTCATTCATAGGCATATGGTTGAATTTCCATCAACCACTAGTGACTGGGTTATGCTCCTTGTTTATATAAATAATGTTTTTTCCAGCACAAGCAGGGATCTTCCATAAAATTATGAATTATGCAAATAAGTAGGAGTCACATTTGCACATTTATATTCAGAATCTGCACAAGTATTTTTGGCTATATTAGTTGATATGAAAAATGCTCCAAATCTAGCCTATTTTGTGAGGTTTGAACATTCCCTCAAAGAAACTAAAACTTTTATATGTGGGGGGGGGGGGGGGAAATAGAATATTGGAAACAACATTTGAGTACTAGGCAATAATTTAAGGAAGTATTAACACTTTTCTGTTGAAATGACTATTGGGGCATAGCATGTCTGACTTAGAATGTAACACATCTCTTTCAGGAATGCTTCTGCACATTCAACTTCATTAATAGGGCCAATTCATGAATCAAGGCTACATCTCATACTGCACAAGCCTGCTCACTATTATGTTTGTGACTGGTTATCTGGGAACAAGGAGTTTGGAAAATGGGATCCTACCTTTACAGTGTGTTCCGTTTGTTAGTTGATTCTCTTTCCTGCTTTTGGTGGAACGCTTCAAATCCTGATAGTAGGTCTTTGGGAGAAATATTATGCTGCCCATTCAGGTGTTTCAGTAAATATTAGCTTTACTACTACCTTTTTACAAGTTTCTAATTTTGATTTATATTGCAACTCATCTCACAATTTCAACTCTGGGTTGTGAAGAGGGGATTAAAACCAAAGAATAATAAATAAATGATACCAGTACACACAAATGACACAATAAATAGTGCCATGACACCAAGGGCAATCAGATTCAAATCACACAAGCACAGTCTCATAAAAAAAAATCCACACTGAAATACTGTACTTCCCCAACCTGCCTGAATATCTCAGGAATATAATAAAGAGAAGCCCTATCTCCTTTAGGATTCTTGATGGGTATTGAAATTGGTAACAGCAACTTAAATGCTCCTTCAGTTAGGATCCAAAGTTCATTCTTGTTGAGAATCTCCTTTTACATGCTTGCGGGAATAATTTGAGATATTGAATCATCTAATTAGCAACACTGCAACTGTGGAATATGTTCATTGTTGCTTTACAGTTTGCTAGTATTGTTGTCATGCATTCACATTCAATGTGTCCTTTGTAAAAAGGTTTGGGTGATGAACTAGAAAGTGAGATACAGTTAAATGGTTTATAATTTCAATATGTTCAAGGTTTTCCTCACAGAAAAAGGGATACTATTTATGCTCTGCCTCTGCTTTTTCTTGGCTTTATTATATTTTTTCTACAATAAAATTGTTTAACTGTCTTGAAGACAGCTCATAGCAGATATATATCTTGGTGGGTTTACTTTTGAGGATCCTGCCTTTTCTAGACCTGAGGTTCAAGAATGATCAAATTCCTGCAATAATATAAAGCAGTTAATACCATTATCTTTCAACTACTTCCTTCTGTTGCAAAGAACATTCTGCTGCTCAATTGTAGTTGGCTCCTGAACTATGGGATGCAGTAGGCCAGCCGAATTTGGAGATGTTCAATTTTTAAGAAGCTGCAGCAGGGAGATTTCTTTTTGATCTATTACACCAAGAGGATCCTATATAAATCATACAGGATCTGTGCCAGATCATTCATTTGGAGTGACCAACTTTAGTTTTCATCTACATGTGACTTGGGTCTGAGAAAGGGATGAGCAGAGCAGATCTTTTTCAAGCTGATCATTGGAAATGTCAGTCAAGATTGCCGGGATCAAAAGTGCATTGCACATTCAGAACCGTCTTTGACTACTTCCTGTCGGTTCAGTCCACTCATAGGTTGGAAGGGACCTCAGAGGTCTTCTAGTCCAATCTCCTTACACCATCCTTAGATCAAATGGCTGTCCAGTTTATCTTTGAAAACCTCTAGTAATCAAGCACCCACAATTATGAGAGGCAAGCTATCCCATTGATTACTTGTTTTCACTGTCAGGATGTTTCTTTTCAGTTCTAAGCTAGATTTCTCTTTAAAAAGCTTCCACCCATTACTTCTTGTCCTGCTTTCTGGTACTTTGGAGAATAAGTCAATCCCCTTTTTCTTATGATAACCCTTCCAGACAGTTATCATGTAGTAGGAAGCAGGTAGATTTCCATGGGGCAACATCATTCACTCTGTGTATAGAGAAGGAATGTTTGTTTCTTATCATTTCTCCACAATTTCTCTAGCTACTTTCCATAGAGAAAGTAGAGGATGAACGTGACAGAAAAAGGGAACATCTATTCCTAAAGAGATAGATAAATATTGCTTAAGCCAAAACCGGGGGTGGTGAGTTAAGAAAATGTCCCAGATGCCCCCCTAACTCACATGAATATAAAAGGAGGAGGAGAAGCAGCACATCCAGATTTGCAAGACTTTGTTGTTAGAGCCAATCTTAACAAAAATGGTTTATGGCATACTAGGCATCTGTTTCTTGGCATGGTCAGTGTTGTAAGGCTAACACTTTCCCTTTCTCTTCTAATCCAGACATTGAAACAAGGTACAGCCATGAAAACCCCACAATCCCCTTTTCTTTATAACTATCATCTGAAAAGCAAATATGAAGCACTTCTTAACTATGTTTTGACAGAGGAAACACTTCCATCTGGGGGGAAAATTGGACTCCATGAATAGGAATAGGAAATTAATTTTAGAAATATGAAATGATGGCTTGCACTAAGATTGATTGAATGTCTGCTTTTTCTAGCTTTCTTCGCCCAAAATGAATTTAAGTGGGTAAAACTTAGTAAGAAGGTATCTTACTTACAGGATGTCCTTCTCAGAAGATTTGCCTAGTTACACCTTCAAGGCATTGTTGTTCCAGGCATGAAATTGCTCAGAACAATATCCAAAACAAAACAACACCAAATCAGCTGTGAATCAAGAAAATAACTTTTTAATTTTGTATGCTGAGCTTTTAGTTACATCTCAGAACTTGAGTTGTAGCATAGTTATTTAAACAGAAGAACAACAGCTTTGCTTTTTTAAATTCAGCTTCTTAACTGAATTCAATTTTTTTTTGTTTTCCCAGCCTTGAAACTCACACTAGGCCATCTAAAAAAGATGAGAAGCACCAACTGCTGCTTTCTAATGAATACCAGGAGGGTTCAAAAGACCGATGCAGAGAATTAACAAAAACGTAGTATTGGGCCTTCTTACTTTGACCAGCTCAATCTTTCTCTTGTTCCAGTTGTACTATTATAAATATTATCTGTCTCCAAAGGTAATGTTTCATGATTCTTATTACTTACGATCAAACCTAAATCTGGATTTACAGATCTAAACAAATGCTTAGAGTGTTTTAAAATATGCTAGAAAAAACAAAACAAACAAGCAATCCACAACATTTATTGAAGGCAGAGATACCAAAGCCTACTTGTTTGCTAGTAAAAATCACTGAAGCTTTATTTTTTGTTATTATAATTTCATGATATGGTTTGAGAGTGGAGTTGTGGAGCTTTATTTCTCTTTGCTTTTGTTAGAATGGAGCTGTTTTCCCCAAGATTAAAGGAAGCAAAGCAGGACAAGACAATAGTCAATGGGTAAATACATCCGACTTTACTATTTCTCAAAAACAACACCCCCGAGGCCGAAGAGACAACTCAGTGAAAAAGAGGGAGGCAACGGCAAGAGGCAATTACATGCAAATAATAATTACCAAGGGGATGTTAAATACATAGCGGAATATTTGCATAAAATGTTAAATTACTGTACTTTTATTTTAACAATAGTGACTTATTTATGAGGGAGTAATGTCTACCACTTACAGTTCTTCAAGGGTCATACCTAACACCTTGAAGGAGCTTGAATGCAGCTTTCTACTCTAAAAAAGGCACCCAGCCTTAGTTTTGGCACCAAAGTTTATTCTAATCATTTGAGTTTTGTTTTGGTTTTTTAAAAAAACCTTTAGTTTGATTTTTTTTTGCCAAATATTCCAAAATAGTAGTTGTTACATTAACTATAATTATTTATACAAAAGCCCTTGATGCTCATGATCAAAATCATGATTTTAAAATGATTGTTAGGGTTACTACAAACTATTACAGGTAGTCCTCAACTTATGACAAGTTGCTTGGTGACTGAAGTTACAACTGACCTGAAAAAGGGGACTCACAACATGGATTTGAAGTTCCGATGGTTGTTTCCACCCCCACCCCCCGTATCACATGACCAAATTTTGAGGACTCGGCAACATGGCTGCATGCAAGATCATTTGCAGCATCTGGCAGTCACATAACCACATTTTATAACAGTTTTGCCCCAAACTGGCACTTCTGGTTTTGGGCAAAAGACTGCCCATAGTGAACCATTAGTTTGTTTAGCGACCACGTTGTTTGTTTAATGACCTCAGTGTTTGCCTAACGACCACTGGAAGAAAAAAAAAATAAAAAAAATCTGGTTGATCACATGGCTGACTCCTTTTACAACCATTGCAACATATAGCCATAATGGGCAGGCTCCATTATGTTTGCAAGTTGAATTCCACCTGTATTGTTTTTATTTTGGTATAGATTTTCAGCAAACATTTACTCCTGATGTTTTTTCTCTCCTCTCTCTCTCTCTCTCTCTCTCTTTTTTTTTTTTTTAAACAGCATGTGGTTAGAAAATTTCTGAATTTGGTGGCCAGCCACAACATAGTTGTGCATCTGATTGACCCTCTCCTTTTGGAACTGATTGACAGAGACTTGGAACAGCTTCAGACCTTCTCTGATGGCAGTCACTCAGAATGCAAATACTTCTGTACCCCACGGGATTATACCACCTTTGGACTACTGGACAAACCCTGGAAACTTGAAGTAAATGTCTTTTTCCAGCTTCCTCTCACTCTGCTAAAGTTTGCAGTCGTTTAATTAAGATACAGTAGAGAGAGAGAGAGAGGATCAAGAGGCCTGTTCGGGTTTTTTTTGCCCACATTTGCATGCTGTCTAATATTTTTACTTTAAGCAGTTTACAATACAGAAAAGTAAATCTTAGATTAAAAACAGGATAACAACACTGACTCAATAAAACGATTAAATCCTGTTTATAAAAAGCTGCCATTCCTTCTTACTTAAGGTCTTCCACCTGAATGCCTTTTGAAAAAGGACAGTTTGACATTTTTCTAAAGGACATGAGGGTAGGGGGGTGGGGGATATCTGACCTCCACGGTTATGCTATTCCAGAGGGAAGGGCTCTCTCTTCCCATTGTTTGAGTTCCCCCACCACCCTTTTAGGGAATAGCACCCAAAGTGTTGCCTCCCCACTAGATGAAGTAGGGCGGGTAGAGTCTACCTTCAGAAGATGGTCCTAAAGGTAGCAACAGTCCCAGCTGAATAGAGTTTATAGCAGTGGTTCTCAACCTGTGGGTCGGGACCCCATTTGGGGTCGAATGACCATTTCACGGGGGTCGCCAAACCATGCTGTCCACCATTTTTTTCCCTTTTCCCTTGCTATCCTACTCCCTCTTATTGGTGGCCATACCCACATGGGGGTCACCACAACATGGGGAACTGTATTATGGGGTCACGGCATTAGAAAGGTTGAGAATCACTGGTTTATAGATAATTACCAGCATCTTATATTGGAACCAGAAACCTATTGACAGCCAATAGCAGCTCTTGTAACGCAAATATTTTTCTTCTGAAACAACTAATACCAATCAGCAATCTAAAAGGAACTGTTGGGTGAAACATGGCTGAAGTTTGATGAAGGTGACCAGAACAAAAACTTTGTATTGGTTTCAGGTGAGTTTGTTTCAAGCGGCTGAGAGAATGGGATTCCAGTGGCTAAAACTTCAGAGTAAAGATCCACGTTTGGAAGGCATGGAAGATCTGTCTGGAACAGAAGTCCCCCTGCACTACATCTTCAAACAGGCAACTCATGCCATCCATCTAGTAGTCTTCTATGAGAGGAGTGGCAACTACCTCTGGCATGGGCCGCTCCGTCTGAAGCTACACATGGACAGGACTTTTGTGCCTTTCCAGAAACTACACTTTGGACGCTACTCTGGAGCCTATGACAAGTAAGAAACAGCAGGGCAGTATTGTTGTTGTTGTTATATATGATGATAGGGCTCCTCTTGCAAAACACAGCTGTTCTACAGTACTTGCTTCCAAAAGGCTGAGATGAAATCAGACACCCCGGAATATAAAAGTGATGAAAATTGTGTCAGAAAGTGCACTTGTACTTTTGATTAATGCTGGTAATGAGGCCATTAGATTCCTCTCCCTTCTTTATATGATGGCAGAGATGAGAATTCTCTGACAACATTATTTGGCAGTAGGTTCAGGGCAGACAAAAGAATTGCACCCTCAAAGAAATTCTATGTCAATGGCTTTAAACTATGGTAACCTCTGAACAAAGGAAGCCTGGGAATAATTTTTGGTGATTTAATAAAAACCTATGTGTTCCTTATTCTTCTATTCTGCTATCCTCTATCTGCCCCCTATTCTCCCTGTTTGAGAATATGGGAGTTGAAGTCCTCTGAATATGGAGGATGCGGATCAAGCAAGAAAAATGACACGCCACCCCATAATACATCCTAGATGAAAAAAATGCACAATTCCCCAGTGACAAGATGCATGCTTTTGTAAGAAAGTAGGGCATCTCTCTTCTTTTACTTTTGATGAGCTGCTTTTAAAATGGGAAAGTATCTAAGTCACTTAATGAAGGCAGTTATATTGAGTTACCTGATTAACAGCATTGCGATTGTGGAATATGTTCACAATTGCTTTGCAGTGTGCTTGCAATTGTTTTCATGCATTTGTAATCAATGTGTCCATCAGAAGGTTCAGCTGATGAGCTGGAAAGGTTATTATTTTATATTCCTTCCAATTATATATGCTGCCTCTCATCAGACCCATTCAAGGCAGCCTTCAAAAAAATTGTTAAAACACCATAGCCATGTTCCCTCCCTCCCATGTTGTGGAGGTCTTTTCCTGGATTATCCTTTTCCTACCACTACTAAAACTATTTTAGAGTACAGAAATTCTTTTAAGTCTCAAACAGGGAGAATACGGGGAAGATAGAGGATAGCAGAATAGAAGAATAAGGAACACATAGGTTTTTATTAAATCACCAAAAATGGATTTTAAAAAATATATTTATATCCTGTACATCAAGGGTAGTCAACCTTGGCTCTGGGAGTTGAAGTCCACGAGTCATAAAAGAGCCAAGGTTGACTACCCCTGCTGTACATACCCTGCCTGTAAAATTATTCCCAGGCTTGTGTCAGTGACACCGAGAGAGATTCCCAAACGTAGAGTCCAAGTCCAAGTCTCTCAAAACTGCCCTTCTGCCTCTATTCTAGTTACTTCTTCCTGTTGGAATAGAACCCAGGAGGCAGTACCCAAAGTTGCCTTCCGTTGATTGGCAGCTCTGCCACCCAATTGTTAACAATTGTTTTGGTTCTGTTTAGGTGTACATCTAATGCAGACATGTTAAACACAAGGCCCGGGGGCCAGATGTGGCCCGCGAAGTGGTTTCATGTGGCCTACGAAGCCATCCTGGAAACAGTGAGGGAACGGCCCCTGCTGCCTTGGCCCTGGTCCAGGCCAGCCGGGAGCCAATGTACAATTTTGTGGTGGTCATCTATGCTGAAACGCATTCAGTCTTAGCTCCACAAGGCTGTCTAGAAACAGCGAGGAAGCAGCCCCTGCTGTGTCGCCCCTGCCCCCTGGGTGCATGCTGGGGAGGTGTCACCCATTGTGAGGAATGAAGAAATGGACCGTGCCTTGGCGCTTGCCCCGGTCCCACCCCCTTCTGCCAGAGACCCTCAGATCTGTCCCATTCCTGCCTAGGCCCCCACAGGCACCCTTGACGCAAACGATGTAGAGCTGGCCATGCCCACCCAGTAGGCCACACCCACTCCATCCACGCCCAACCAGTAGGCTGCACCCATCTTGGCCACACTCACCTGGCCCCCCCGAGGGCAACCGCAGTGCTGATGCGGCCCTCAATGAAATTGAGTTTGACACCCCTGATCTAATGAATTGGATGGATCGAGAATAGATTAAGATAGACAAATGTTTTTGTGAACATGCAAGTTGTGATTGTGTGTCAGGACGAACAGCAAATGTGCATTTGTTCGCTTGCTGCCTTAATGCAAATTGGAAAGGAAATGTCTAGTTTCTGTAACATTCTCCTGGTCAGGATAACATCACTTTCCCCTTCTTGTAACAGGATGGAATTACTGACTCTTTCCATTGATGGATTAATAGTCCAGATTCCAAAAGAGCCATCTAGGTTCCTTGAAGAAAGGTCTCACTCTAGATTTGTTGAATGTCGGTACAGGGAAGCTCGATCGTTCTTCCAGGTTAGTATCATTTCGTGTTTGAATTCATTGGTTTAATAAAAATGATATATCCGTGTCACCACTGCCTCCAAAATGTGCAGTGTTTCTATTATGGTCAGCTTTCCCTTCCACACTCTGGCACTGAAATGGCAATAGTTGCTAATTCTTGTCAATTGTTCAAAATGGAGACATTATTTAAAAGGTGTCAGTGGATACATCTCTCTTTTGTAGGAAATCAGTGGTACTAAGTGAACTTGATCAATCTATTAATACAGTGGCCAGCTGGACCTTTGTAAGCCTACTAATATTGCATTTAGTTCCTCACTGCAAAGTAGAAGATATCTTGGTCTCCTGGCTGTTTGGAACTCCAAAAATCATAATTTTTGCAATTAACTTCTGGTTTACTTTTGCCTCCTTTCCAGGATTCAGAGTGAGGGGCCCAAGGTCACCCAGCTGGCTTTGTGCCTAAAGTGGCACTAAAGCTCATATGTTCCTGGGGTCTAGCTTGTTGTCTTAATCACTACATCAACTGGCGCTCTCTTACTACATAGCCTAGGACCTAGTGACCTTACTTGTAATTTGTTTCATCTCTTTCAAAAAGCAACTTTTGAAAGAGGTCTGGAAAGCCCCTCTTCAAACCCACAGTTTCTTTGGATGCCCTGAGACACATGCATGTTCTTTTGAATATTGGCCATAGTTTTGTTGAAATCCTAACCCAATCAATCTTTTCCCTCTTTGGGCAACTTGTGCTTCAGTTTTTCAGCCCAACAGCCAGCCACATTTCCATGCTTAACCCTATTTAGTGACGACCTACTAAGATTTGCTCTGCGGCTTTGACACTTGATGGCGCCAAAGAATGAATATGGAAGGCCGAGCAATTTCATTGCAAGAAATACTTTCCTACCATATGAGCACAGCAGGAAGGTAGAAAAGAACAGTTGCATTAAAAAAAGAGAAGATTTTATGTGGGTTAAGCTTCGTGTTGTGTTTTACTAAGGTATAAGTAATAGTTTGTAGCTCGCTTACTGCAAGTGCAGAAGGGAATGAAAAGTGCATTATTTAGTGAAGATGAAAATTGGATTGATTGCAATGGTGATTTTTTGATGGACTTTGGACCCAAAGCTGATCTATCTATCTGTCTGTCTGTCTATATCTCAGACACCACCCATATCAGCGTCCAAATGATTATTTATTTTTCCAACTATGGCCAGTAGTCTTTAGCACAAGCAGAGAATCGATTTCATTCCAGAGATGTCATACTGGATCAGATTTTGTTACACAAGTCTCCATAAGTTTGATTTTTAAATTCTTTATCAACTTTCCTCTGTGGTTATCATCACCAGTTTGAATTGGGCCCTTGCCTGACCCTGTGGCTCCTTGCTCCCACTTTCCAAGAGAACAAGTAATAAGGACCTTCATTTAAATACAGATTCATTGCAGATAGTCCACGCTTACCGACTACTCAGTCAGCAACTGTTTGAAGTTACAGTGATGCTAAAACAATAATTTTATGGCCATGTTACCACATTTATGGCCTTTGTAGTATCCCTCAGTCATGTGATTGCCATTATAGTCGTGCATTGTTCTCTGCTTGATTGGTGATTTTTTTTCTCTTTCAAAATTGCAGATTGGAGAGATTGAAAAGGAAGGGATTTCAAGAGAGTAAGCAGTTTAGATAGCTCCAGCCCCAGGGTTGTGGTGCAGTCTCATTGCTTTTGATGTGTATAAGGCATCCTAAGAAGCAGTTATCAGATAAACAAAAGGGAAGGGGTAAAATGACACGTCTTGTCTTTTTCCACCTTGAAGCCACATTGGCACTCAAGTCTTTTCCCGCTTAGCAGCCACTTTACTTGTAACAGTTACTTATTTCTTCTGGGGAAATTCTAAATATTGGTAAGGAAATATTAAAAATGGTCATAGAAGCTAAGGTACAGATTAGACAAATGCCTTCATTTGACTTACAACGTGCAAAGAATTTACAGTGCTATTCCTCCTTTTTTTTTCTTCTTCCCCTCCTCCTTTTTCTTTCTTTCCTAGCTGTACCCTGATGATACGTCCCCCGAGGCAGTGGAATTCAGGAAAAAAGCCAAGGCATTGCTGCGTCTTGCTGCTCTGACACTGAACACTATAGGAGTACAATTCTGGCTGAGTAGCGGGACTTGTCTAGGTAAGTCACTTGCAGTTGGTTAGAAGCCAGAACTGTTCCCTGCAATGCTGGCAGTTGAACCTGAGGGACAAGGTAACCAAACTGAGTACATGGCAGAAATACGCCATGTATGAAGATCAAATGCATGGAACCATAAAATCCACGTGAATGCAAATTAGCTTGTCTTAGACTATGATCCCAGAAGCATATGTGGCAAGAGAGTCCTTCATCGATCTCCTACCCCACTGATACTAGAACTGGGAGATTTTATAAGTATTATTCTTGACATCAAACTCCAACTGTTATTGCAATGAGTTAAACATTGCATTAATGCGCGGGCTTTTTTTTACCCTGCACTCTTTTTTTTTTAAAATGTTTTTATTCATAATACAATTAAAACAATAATGGACAAATATGACATTCCAGAATAAATTTTCCTATCAATTCCTATCATGGTACAAAAGTTTAATACATTGTTCTTAACCTCTATATAAGCCTCGTCTTCTATACCACAGGTCGGCAACCTGCGGCTCTGGAGCCGCACGTGGCTCTTTGAGCCTTCCCCTGTGGCTCCCAGCCTCCTCTGCCTTTGCAGAGAGAGACAGAGACAGAGAGAGGCAATTGCGCTTCCCTGCTCTTCTCTCTCTCTCTCTCTCTCTCTCTCTCTCTCTTTGTGTGTGTGTGTGTGTGTGTGTGTGTGTGTGTGTGTGTGTGTAAAAGAGTGCACTCACAGTGTTCTCTGAGGAGCTGAAAAGCTTGCTGGGCGGAGCTGCGTCTCTGCAGGAAGCAGGAAGCAGGAAGGTCAGGAGAGAGCTAGCTAGCCCAGCTAGGCTGACTCGGGAATTCTGGGAGTTGAAGTCCATGAGTCATAAAAGAGACGAGGTTGCTTACCCCTGAGCTTGTTGGACAACAGCTTGAAGCTTGCCAGGTGAGCAGCAGATAGGAGGGGGGGGAGAAAGAGAGAGAAGAGGGAGGGGGAGAGAGAGAGATAGAGGAAAGAGAGAGAGAAAGAAAGAGAGTGGGGGAAGAGGAGTGGCAGACCAACGGCAGATAAAGAGGAAGGGAGGGAGAGAGACAGAGAGAGAGAGAGAGACCCTTTTGACATCTAAAATGAAGATAACACTGCATATATCCTTTTTTTACCTCTGTGTGTATGTAATTTTATTCTCTTAAAGCATTCTCTTGGTGATCATTGTTTTAATAGTATGGATATTCCCAAGAGTGATATTTTTACTTTTATTTTTAATGTGTGTGTATGTGTATGTGTATGTATACACACACACACACATACATACACAAACACTCACCTATAATAAAGGTAAAAAAGGATATATGCAGTGTTATCTTCATTTTAGATATCAAAAGGGTTTTGCGGCTCCCAGTGTTTTGTTTTTGGTGGGAAACGGGTCCAAGTGGCTCTTTGAGTGTTTTGGGTTGCCTACCCCTGTTCTATACAATACAATTATATATACAATTATATGTACAGTTATATATATCTTTTAATTCTACCATTAACTTGAAGTCCGAGCAGTTCTCCTTAATTCATACCAACGGTAAAATTTGCCCCAGATTTCGAAGTATTCGTACCCTGCACTCTTCAAATGAATTAAAGAGCTCTGTAGATTAGGAGTACTAGTAGTTATAATCCAGCACGGTTGGTCCATATCTGGTTGGTTCATGTAATTACACTCTTACATAAATATAAGTAGGAGTGTTCAGTATTTCATCCCCAGAACCAAAAAGGTGCTTTGCAGCAGTGGGGATGCATACCAAATCTGCCTGCATTTCCTTAAAGAAGCTACATATTTCCTTGCTTGCATGGAAGCTGTGCAATTCCAGGAAATCATGTGTTTAAGTTGAGGAGATTCAAGAGGAGGTCCAAGGTGCTCTGGGATAAGTCTGGCCATGCTACAGGTACCTCCTTAATTCAAACACATTTTCTGGTGGGATCAGGGAGCTGTTGTCTGAACCTAATACACTGGGAAGGATTTGTAGGTGAAACTATGAAAATAATGTTCTTAATCAAGCATTAATGTGGGGAATCATCTAAGCTAAATGAAATAAATGGCCCACAAATGCCAATTGTATCCTTATCTGCAGGAAAGTAAGATGAAAGTAAGATGAAAGAAGCCCCTGTTACTCTCTTTTACCTTTTTTAAAACAAAGAGAATACTGAAAAATTGTATTAACCCTTTAATATTTCCGGGGGGGGGGGGGAATATGTGTTATTCATTTGAGATAATTCCCACAGGCATTGTTCAATTATGGAATTCAGGATTGCAGTGTCTTCAACACCATGCTGTCCAAAAATTCTAGTAAACTTCTTGCTTACCCCAAGATGTTGAATTAAACATCTTTTTGTGCTGATCCAGTAAGACCATTAAATATGGTGATTTGATTAATTATGTGCCATCTAGTTGGTATTGTCTCACAGTCACCACATTTTCTCCATGATGTCCTTAATCTGGTTGTTTAGCTCTTCCAATGGTGCACTTATCACCGCTATAACTGACTCCTTGCTATTGGTCATCTTCTTCCTCTTTTTCCTTCTATTTCTCCCATCATCATGATGGACTTGTCAAGAGAGCTAAGTCTTTTGCATTATGTTTCTAATCAGCTTGCAGTTAAGTTAGCACCTTATTTTTGTTGAGTCATACTAAAAGTATGAGGAAAGAATTACCTACAAAGTTATTGTAATTTTTACCATCATGTGGGATCAGGAAGTTACATGGCCAACTTAGTTGAGAGGCTTTTGCTGATTGCTTTGTCTGGGTTTCCTCTTGGGCACCACTGTAGATTTTTACTCTTTATTAACATTGTTTTCCTATTGCATTTACACACTAGCCACCTAGAGTTGCATTTGCAAATAAACTTACTTGCAAAAATTGGGCCCCTAAGCTTGGAAAAAATTTGTCATGAAAGAGAGGTTGCAGCTGGTTCACCAGAGATGATTCTAGTTGGATTTATGCAGACTGTGTTGAAGCTTACAGATTTTTTTTATACAGTTTCTCCCACTAATTATAAAGAAAGGAATCTCTCCAAATATGTATATCACAGAACTTCTATTTTAAAAGAAAGAAACCAGCCATTTTCATTTGTGGAAATGGGAGTTAACTCTTAAATTTAAATATTTACCAAGCAGCCTTGAGGAATGAACAGGTTGGGCAAGTAAAATTGTTCTTCTGTGCCTTTCTTCTCTACCATATAAATGCAGCAGATTGTTAGAGGAGAAGTTGAATTTTCCATCTTTCCTTAGAGTGGAAAACTTCTGGGTAAAATTTTTGTTCTTTATTTAATTACACTGTCCTCTTTTTCACCAATGTAGGGACTGCATGATTGTGTGTTAAATTTCTCATGGATTTGTTGAATATTTAGGTTGGTACAGACAGTGCAACATTATTCCTTACAGTAAAGACCTGGACTTGGGGATTTTTATTCAAGACTATAAGCCAGATATTATTACAGCATTTCAGAAGGCCGGATTACCGCTAAAACATAAATTTGGCAAGGTTAGTGAATACAGGAATATGCTTGACTCATACTTTTCTTTCTTGCCAATCTTTTTTTCCCCAATATCTGAAATATTAAAGGCATAATTAGTTTCTATTGGAACTGTGTTTTTCAAATTTGGCACTTTTAAGATGTGTCAACTTTAACTCCCAGAATTCTCCAGCCAGCATACTGACTAGTCAATTCTGGGAGCTTAAAGGTGGCTAGTTTGAAAAGCACTGGGGTCAAAGTGTGTTGGGGAGTGGGGGGGGGACCTGGTTTTGGATCTTCTCTCTGGAGCTTGCTGTTTAGTTAGGAGCAGTCAGGCTCTTTACTCAACCTACTTCACATTATTATGAGGATAAAGTAGAGAGAACAGAAAGCTGTGCAAGAATTGCTTGCTGCAATTCAACATAAAATTGACCATAACTTCCTAAATCAAAACACGTTCCTAGTCAGGCAGAGGCCCTGCATTAGTTTTCTTGCAAATTATTCTTCTTCACCAGCTGTTATTCACCCAGAAGCAATGTTTTCTGAAAACTTAAAGAGATTTGGGGTTTTTTATTTCTTTCCCCAGTGGGGCAAATGGTGCAGTCCTCAGCGCTTTGTAAATATTGAATTGTTTTATCTTGCAGATAGTCTAGAGCTAACTTGCACAGTTTTTTCTTCCATTATCATAATTATTGTACCTCTTGACTTTTTAGCCTATTAGTTTTATTGGCATCTGAGCAGTGAGTAATTTAAGACTTTCTAATCTTTTACTTCTAATTCAGCTTCTTTAGAAAAGAAATTTAAAAAAAAATTGCTGAAGACTTGTTACATTCCTGTAATGCTGTTATATACCTTAATAAGCTGGGATAAAATTAGCCTTGGCACTCTTAAGTGATTCCCCCTCCTGACCAAATTTCATTGGGAGTTGAATAATATCTGTTTTTTTCAACTGCTTTTTATTAGGGGTGCTTGGTGCTCTCTGAGCTTCCTTGTTTTCTTACAGATGTTTCATTACCCAAACTAGGTAACATCATCTGTGCTAGTGATGATGCTCAGGTAGTCTGCTGTGTTCCAGAGTACAAGGCCAACTGAGCCAACCAGCACCACCTCCAACAGTGGCTATTACTGGGCCCTGGGGAGCCACAGCTTACCCTACCTGGGAAGAGGCCGCTGAACTCAGATGAGAGAATTTGCATTTGAAAAATGAACTCCAAAGGAGGACCACAATAGTAGATAAGACAGAAGACTCAAAAGATGAAATCAGGAAACTGCAACCATCATAAATACATGTCATTGCCAAGTGTCTGAATTTAAATCATCACTAGCTAGTACACTGATGATGTTACCTACTTTGGATAATGAAACATCTGCCAAGAAAACAACCAAGCTCAGAGAGCACCGTGGACCCTTCATTTCAACCCTGAGCTACAAATATTCTCCTTTATTGCTTTTTATTAATCTTTTAAGAAGTTTTATCTTCAAAATAGTGCTAGGAAGTACTCAAACTTCAGAGTTAAGAATTACAGGAAGGGAATCAAGCATTAATTTTGATGCGTTCCAGTTTTATTATCTATGTCTTGAGTTCTTTTCCCCCCCCCCCCTTTCTTTATAGGTTGAAGATAGTTTAGAGCTCTCCTTCCAGAGAGGAGAAGATGATGTGAAGCTTGACATTTTTTTCTTCTATGAAGAGGATGACCACATGTGGAACGGAGGAACCCAGGCCAAGTCCGGCAAGAAATTTAAGTATGACTCAGAGTTGGTATTTATGGAGGGAAAGCCTTACTAAAGAACTGTTTTCATAGCTTATTGCCCAGCAAATAATTGCTTCTGCTCTAATAGGTTTTAAGCCTTTTGGAGAACATTGACCCAGTTATTAAAAAAAATAAATAATTTCAGGAAGCTTTTTAGTGGCAAGATCCTTAATGGACAACAAAAGTCTTTGAAAGATAAAGTTGACTCACATTTATCAGCCCACCTTTGCAGATATTCAGCTTCCTCGTGGTGTCTCCTTCTAGAAATATTTTGTAGAACCTTCTACAAATACCACTCTTCAATGTCTTGGTAAGGCCACACTTGGAATACTGCATCCAGTTTTGGTCACCACGATGTAAAAAAGATGTTGAGACTCTAGAAAGAGTACAGAGAAGAGCAACAAAGATGATTAGGGGACTGGAGGCTAAAACATATAAGGAACGGTTGCGAGAATTGGGTATGTCTAGTTTAACGAAGAGAAGGACAAGGGGGACATGATAGCAGTATTCCAATATCTCAGGGGCTGCCATAAAGAAGAGGGAATTAAGCTATTTTCCAAAGCACCTGAAGGCAGGACAAGAAGCAACGGGTGGAAACTAATCAAGGAGAGAAGCAACCTAGAACTAAGGAGAAACTTCCTGACAGTGAGAACAATTAACCAGTGGAACAACCTGCCTCCAGAAGCAGTAAATACTCCAACACTGGAAGTTTTTAAGAAGAGACTGGACAGCCATTTGTCCGAAATGGTGTAGGGTTTCCTGCCCGAGCAGGGGGTTGGACTAGATGACCTCCAAGGTCCCTTCCAACTTTACTACTACTACTACTACTATTATTATTATTATTATTATTATTATTATTATTATTATTATTACTACTACTACTACTACTACTACTACTACTACTACTATGTTAAACTTCCATTTCTGAGCATAGTTCAAATGGCGGCATTTATCTCTGCAAGATTCCAGCTGGCTTTGCATCTAGAAATTTTAAGTTATTTTCTCCCACATTAGCTTCTTGGAATACTCAAGAGGCCCGACTAAACTACCTTTCTGGAATCAAGAGGAATGGTGAATGGCAATGAGTGCTTGTTAGTAATTCTCTCCCCTCCCCCCCCCCCCTTTAGCTTCAGCGCAGAAAAGTTCACTTGTTTCTGAACTGTTTTTTTTTTTTTAAATAAAGCTTAACATGTTTGTATATTATTCTGGACATTTCAGATTGTCATCAGTCTTATCTAGGACTAATGTTGTTTAACTATCAGCTGTGTTTGTTGCTTAATTGTTTGTTCTTTGTTGTATCTGTAAGTGTTGCTGGGTCAATTTTACTATGTTAGAATAGGGAATATTTTTTGTATGATTGTAATCCACTCTGTAAGTAACTAAACTAGAAGGAAATAACATTATTTGAGTAAATTAAGTTGAGGAAAGGCCATCCAAGGCCAATCATTTCACCAGAAAGTTGCTATTAAGCTTGATTTCTTCTAAGGCGATAGGAAAAATGGACGTTCTTTGGATCAACACAAAGTTCTTACAAAATATGGCGGAATTTCTGGGGCACCATGTTAGTTCTTCTTCCTTGGTCAGAGATGTGATTGATTGTATCTTGATTAAAATTTGATCATTAGTGAAGAATTTTGTTTCTGTGTGGTTAATTAATTCAATCTGCAAAGCAGATACTTGGACAATTTGCGAAAATTTTAGTTCAGAAACATTTTCAGGAGCAGGTTAAAGAAATGGGTGTCCTGAAATTTAAATGTTTATGTTTATTAACAACATAGATGTCTCTAATTCTCATTATTATGCACTTCAAAATGCCTGCTTAAAGGTTAAAAAGGAGAAGAATTTACTTCCTTGGTACTTGGAGAATTTGAAGATTGCATTTCGGTGCTGTAAATAGCTCCTGATCTGTCAGTATAATTCAGCAGAATTAAAATGTGTTCAACATCTTTCCTTAATAATTAAGTATAATAATATAGCACCTGCAGAAGCTAAGTTTGCATATTGCTTATATCCAGTCTGCCACATAATGATCTAAGAACATAACCTACTTCTCATTGGTAGCATTTTAACTGCACCGTCTTTCTTATCTGTTCTTCCTTTTTGCAGGTATTTCTTTCCCAAATTTACCCTATGCTGGACTGAGTTTCTAGAACTTAAGGTACATGTGCCATGTGAAACCCTCCACTACATTGAAGCCAATTATGGCAAAGACTGGAAGGTTCCTGTGAAAGTGTGGGATTGGAAAAATTCACCCCCCAATGTCCAGCCTAATGGAATCTGGCCTATCAGTGAATGGGAAGAAGTAATTCAGCTCTACTGATTCATCTGTAAGGTGCTGGCATCAGAAGAATATTTGTTGACAATTGCATCATGCCTCACCTAGAAATCATCAGCACTGGGATGCTTCATGGATTTGCCACTGTTTCCGTGGTAGGATGCATGTGGAAATCGATGCACTGCATCATGGCTGGGTCTGAATTTGAATTTGAAGAAGCTGCAGCAGCAGAATCTATGAAATCTCAGCCTCGAATCACCTGAGGCTGATCAAACATAGGCCCTGCCTGAATAGCCAAGCAATCAGATGATGCAGCAGGCTTCCAAGCTCCCATACCTGGTGAGGAGAGCAGAAATCAAAGAATAGAATTCAGTGAGGCTCCTTGTCAAGCAAGAGAGTAAATTTCTTGATTAAAGGCAACTGGCTGCAGCCTGATTACAAGGCAACCCATTATCCCTCATTGGAATCAACTGTCTGATCTCCAGCTTTTGTGTGATGTTTGTGTGAAATTCTGCTCCTGAAATTTTGACTTCTGGATTGGCTGACAATACTGACCTGGCTCTTGGAACTCTGCATTGGAGTTTGACTGTTCTTCTGTCTGCTACTGTTAAAGAAAATCTATTCAGGCAAGCTTCTTTCAGAGGCTCTTCTTTCTGTTTGTATTCCTTGTCTGCCGTTACCTCCTCAACTTTGAGTAAACTGCTAATTTCCATAGCGACTGTATGTTGTGAGTGTAGAATTGAAACCAGAAGCAGGACACACTGCTTCAGGAGCTTATGTAGCTGAGGATGGAAGAATTCAAAAAGCATTTTGTATAAGTGTATGTTTGTATGTATATATGAAAATGAACAGTAGTAGTTATTTGGATGTTGTGTTCTGACAAACATGCTTATAGCAAGGAAGCAACATTATAAAAACTGGACAGAGAAGATATCCTAGCAGATCACTGTAAAAGAAACTTTGTCAATAGGCGGGGAATACAGGATTACCTCACCGACTGGCCATAGTTGGTCATTAAGTACAATGATAAATGATGAACTTACATCAATTCTGGCTGCAGTCATTAAGTGAATTTTGCCTGCTTATTAAGTTTGATATGACTACAATTTCCAGCTTCCTGCTGGCATCCCCATTGATGTTGCTTGTTGTAGTGTTTGGTTTGTAATACACAGAGGGTATCTTTGGATTTTCATCATTGTATATTTTAAATTAATTATGATGACCTAATTAAGGAGATTGAAACTGAAAAAAAGTGTTTAGCAAATGAATTGTTAAATGAAACAGAACTAAACCTGGGAGTTACCATATACCTAATATTTATATGTGACAAGGGTAAGGGTAGTTCTAACTACAGGTAATCCTTGACTTATGACCATTTGTTCAGCAACCATTGGAAATTATGATGGTGCTGAACAAAGAGACTTGTGATCTTTGCTCAAGAGTTATACCATTGCAGCCCATCCACACTCATGGACTGCATAGGTGCTGTAGCTCTCATTTGCCTACTGTATCTCCCCCCTCCCATCTTTGCCCTTAAACATCTGGGGAACTTTCATGGTGGGGAATGAAGCAGACACACACACACACACACACACACACACACACACACACACACACACGGCCGAGCACACAGTGGGGCCAAAAGGGAAGCTCCAAACCCCCAGGAGACTCCAAAAGAGCGAAGCAGCCCCCTCCTCTACGAAGCCTCTCTGCAAACTCTTCTCTGGCTGTGGCTGTTTCCATTTCAATGGAAATGGCTCCTTCCATTGAAGCTGCGCTCCTCTAGGAATTGGTACTTGATGGTTTAAACCCAGCAAAGTCAAGCTGAAACTTCTTAGGACTAACAGGCTTAGTAGCCATGCCCAGAGAATAGTTTGCAGAGAAGGAAAAAAAAGAAAAAAAAGCTAAATTTTTGCTTTAAGAACCTGGGGCTGCTTTGCACAGCCTTGGGATGCCATATTCTCTTCACACAGCCTTAGAAAAGTGAGGGCAGCTGGGTTTTCTCTACAAAGCCTTGCCCAGGAGCATGGGAAAAGATGCATTGTAGAATGCTGCGACTAACTGGCTGGCTTTAGCATTTATTTATTTTTGCTTCCTTTTCCTAAAGGGTGGCCTCGTGGGAAGAAGAAAATGGTTCAGGGCAGAGCAGGGCTGGGCAGAGAGGGCGGCTGGGCTGAATATTTCCCAGGTGTTTGCGACTTCATGGGGAGGCGTGGCTGCTTCAAACCTTTGGAGTTTCCCTCCACAGGGCAGCTGCTTTGCACCCCACTGTGAGGCTTCCCCGGTTGTTGGGCCTTGGGGAGAGGGGAGGGATGGCTGCTTCGTGCTCCACTGTGGAAGTTTTATGCTTCCTGAGTGAGGTGCCTTTTGCTTGCTGCTAGGCCAGGCTGGGCGGGTATAGCTACAGCTTCTTTCCCTGGCCTCCCTGCGCTCACTCCATGCTGCAGCACCCCCATAACTTGCGCATGACCTGCAATGGACCTCCCCAAGGCTCCCTCACTCTCTAAGGCCTCTGTGCTCTGCTTAACGACCCATCCCCTCGTTTAACAGCTGCATCAGGGAGAACGGGATGGAAGATGAGGCCATCTCAATGGCTGTCACCACTTGCGACTATAAAGGCAGGTTACACTTCGGTTGCATGTCAAGGACCCACCTGTATTTGGAGCTCTTTTACAAAATTCAGTAAAGTAGGAATTGCCTTTGTGGACAGAAAATGTGAGTATATTTTCCATCACTCACAAATAGACAATTTCTACATAATATAAATACTATGTATTATATATAGGAAAATCAAGTAAGAATTAATACACATCCTTTGACTAAAATAGTATTTCAGTTGTAAAGTATGATAAGGTATCTAACTTATTGACAGATAAATCTAACTTATTGACAAATGTGTTTTCTGTTTTATACCAGGTAAGTCTTAGATATTAGTTTTAGTGTCATTGAATCAAGTCTGGCCTTGATGCTCATATGGGCAAATGTCCTCCATTTTGACTAATCTCTAGTGGCAATCTCAAAGTTCTGAAGAGACATTTCAGTTATCCCTGATCATTTCATCCACTTATCTATTGTCTTTACCTTCTTTAACTTCCCTCAACCTGCCAGGGGTAGGCAGTTTAGTTAACATTTAAATCCCAATGAAATCAGTGGGAAGATAATCTCTAGATCAGGGGTAGGCAACTTTGGTCTTTTATGACTCATGGACTTCAACTCCCAGAATTCCTGAGCCAGCATGGCTCAGCTTGAAAACCTCTCTCTTTCCCCTCAGCATGGCTGGCTCAGGAATTCTGGGAGTTGAAGTCCACAAGTCATAAAAGAGCCAAGGTTGTCTACCCCTGCTCTAGACCAAGGGTCACTAAACCTAGCAAGTTTAAGACTTGTGGACTTCAACTCCCAGAATTCCTCAGGTAGCTTAGCTGGCTGACGAATTCTGGGAGTTGAAGTCCACAAGTCTTAAAGTTGCCAAGTTTGGAGACCCCCCTGCTGTAGACCACATGGAGGATATCACTGAAACCTTGATTGTGGCCCCCTAGTCAAGTGGACTTTTTCAGATGCAGAAAGTCAAAATGCATCTGCTTGAATAAGGCTCTACCATGCTAAGCCTCACAAGGATATTTCAGTTCAAGTGCTCTTTCAAAGCTTTGCATAGCCCTACAAATTTTAACTGTCCTATCTGGATTGTGGTCAAAATTCCAATGTCCTTGCTGTATTTGCCAGTGTACATTTTTGACTTTATGTTCTATCTGTTACTTATTACAAAGTTAGCTAAAGTAATCTGGGATTTTTTAAAAACCAGGATAGCACCTACCAAATGTTTCTTTGTAATAAATATCTGAAAACCAAATTATTGCATTTACTGAGAGTATCAAAGAGACTGGTGTTTTATTAGATGAAGATATTTATAATGGATAGTTTGTGCTCAATGTTACACTTGTATTTTAAGGTTCTTTTATGGGAAAAGCTGCTATTTACTCATGCAGGATAATATCTGACTATGGATAGGCAAAATCTTGAAATTAGACCTGATACCTGGGAGTCCAATTGCAAAGTGATACAGTTTTGGTGCAAAAAACAACAACCAGAAAAACAATATATGTCTCAATGGAACCTGAGCCACTCTGACTGCTCAGGAAACATATTTTGGTATCTTGGAGGAAAACATAATCGAAATGTCACGTGTGGTGTTGCTACAGTAAATTGACATAATAATTCATGTCAGAATCATCATAAGAGAAATTAAAAATAAAATTGTCGATATAGTAAATATGGCATAATAGCATTTGGAAAGCTTTTTGAAACCCTGATCAGCAGACCCTGTTGCAGTTGTGAAAAAGGTGCCAGAATGGAACTGTCCTTTGAGAACTATAGCATTCAGGGTTTTATATTTTAAAGCAAAGCAGATATGGAGGCAGGCCTATGAATATGAAAATACATGGATCAGAACCCAAGGATTGGAGTTAAACATTTTTTTCTTCCGTCACTATACTTCGTCAACCATTGCAAGAAGATTCAATTCTAAATTGATAAAATATTACACATTTTAATCATGTTATACAAAGAAGTACTGAAATGATACTGAGATTCAGTACTGATACTGAATCTCAGTATCACTTCAGTACTTCTTTCTGTAACATGATTAAAATGTGTAATATTTTGTCAATTTAGATTATTTTAAAAGTGGAATGGAGAAATTTTTCAAGTATCAGGCTGTCACTGATTAGTTCCAATGGCTGTATGGTGCTTCTGGGATCATATACTTTAAGTACCCATGTTGAAGAGCAGAAATGGGAAAGACTGTTGTCTTCCTTTGGTTGTGAACTTCCTGTATGCATCTAGTTTGCTGTTGTGCTGGGCTATTTGATCTCATATATTCTTATGAGTTTAATACATCTGCAGGCAGTCTCTTTGCTTATCTGTATCAACAAGCTGGAAATTGCAGTTCACAGCTTCCTGTGGAATGGAATACTGTTGTACCGTATATGCCGGCGTACAAGGCGACCCGGCGTATAAGACGACCCCGTCTTTGGCGCCAAGTCGCATTCCTAGAATGTCATCTTAAATGCCTGAAACTACCAGTTTTCTTCTTCTGTTAGTATCTATAAGCTACTACTGGCTTTTACTCAACCAAACTTAGAAGGCCTTTTCAAACTTCTGAGTTTCACAGACTTCTAATGGTAATGGAGATAACCTTTGTATTTATTTAGTCTTTTATTTGCTTTCTGTAAAATCTGGATTATTTTCATAATTCATTTCATTAGCGCGTTCAAAAAATTAGCTCAACCACTCTAAACTGCACATCCTCTATATTAGGAATTCCCATTATGCTATAAAATCTTCCTGTCTAAAAAAGACTAATCCAATAAAGTAGGAATTGTGAACCTATTGCTTTCCAGATTTTGCTTGCTGAAGTTCCTAGCTTTATAGCTGGTGTAACCACTGGTAAGGGATGCTGGAAACTTAACATTCAGAAAGACCACAGGTACCTTAGCAATAGCAATAGCACTTAGACTTATATACCATTTCATAGTGCTTTACAGTACAGCACTCTCTAAGTGGTTTACAGAGTCAGCATATTGACCCCAACAATCTGGTTCCTCATTTTACTGATCTTGGAAGGATGGAAGGCAGAGTCAACCCTGAGCCGGTGAGAATCAAACTGCTGGCAATCAGCAGAATTAGCCTGCAATATTGCATTCTAACCACTGTGCCACTATGGCTCTCTAGGCCTACAGTAGAACATTTACACTGACAGAAGACAAGGTGGTGAATCTTAGATTTCCCTCTTTCAATGTCATATCCTAAAAATCTATTCTAAATGGTTGGAGAATCCCCTGGAATTTTGAACAAGATGGGTCTGGAAACAGTTTTAAAACTGTTAGCTCTTCTGATACAGGTGGTTTGCAGTTTCTTTGGTGCTTTGTAGTTTTCTTGGGAGGAATGAGATTTCATTCCATAAATTTATCCCACTGATCTACATGTACCATATAGTCGTCCTCAAACAAATATAGTCTCTTTCAGATGTGTTTGATTATAAATACCATCTTTCCAATGCTGATTGAAAATTATGAAAGTCATAGTCAAACACATGGAGACCACCAGCTGGAGAAAGCTGATTTAATGTTTGATGCTGGTACAAAATTAATGATTAGATAAATCAAGGAATCTGTTACACAATTACATTTTTACTAGCCTAGATCCGTGGTGGCGAACTTATGGCACGCGTGCCACAGGCGGCACATGGAGCCATCTCTGGTGGCATGCGAGCCATTGCTGGGCCAAGCTGTTCCCTCCTCTCCGCGCATGCGCAGCTCTCTGCACATGCACAGTCTGGGAATAGGCGAGAGGCTATAAAAGGAGCAACTTTCGGCGGAAGCAGCATTTGCTGCAGACAGTGAGACAGCAATCATAAGTCGGAGCGGACAGCGAGCGACTGAGTGAGTGAGCATGAGCCGACAGCTCGGTGGCCACGCCCACTCAGTGTCCATGCCCACCTGGCACCTGACGATGCATAAGTGGGTTTGGGTTGCAGTTTGGGCACTCGGTCTCTAAAAGGTTCGCCACCACTGGCCTAGATCTAACTAAGAATGCATGTTTTGGTTTGATCTCTGCTATATCAATTTTCTCAGGACAGGAAAGAAAATCTGACTGACCACAACTACATTTTTGAAATTTACTATGGCGTGTTTTTTTTCTTTTTCAAAAATTTATATCCTACTACAGCACTGTTTCTCAACCTTGGCAGCTTGAAGATGTGTGGACGTCAACTCCTAGAATTCCCCAGAAAGCCATGAGGAATACTGGGAGTTGGCTGGCTGAGGAATACTGGCTGGCGAATTGGAGTCGGCACATCTTCAAGTTGCCAAGGTTGAGAAACACTGCCCTACCATGTATTCTTTTGATTTTAAATTTCCTATTAAATTTATCATTTCAGCCAATCCCGAAATGATAAAAGACCAGTTCTTGGACAAGGATGAGAAGAAACTAAGAAGAAGTTGCAGGGATGAGGAAGAGAAAGAAACATCTGGAAGAAGACATTGATAAACCACTTTTGTATTGCTGTCATGAAAAATAATTGATCCGTCCAGGTCAGTATGTGTGAACTTCAACTTCCAGAATTCCCCGGCCAGCATATCCACATATCTTCAAGCTGCCAAAAGTTGAGGAACACAGATCCAGATAGTCCTTAGGAGCTGATCTTGGCTTAAGGGAATTTTTAGATTGAACATTCAAATTATGCAAGTTTGCTATTGTCTTCTGCATCTTGATTATCTTGATAATGGGTCACATACTATGATGAAAACTAGTATCTGCAATCATATCTTGAAGTCAATGTCCCCGTCTCTCCCCAACACAAACACCTTATCAGGGCTTCAGTTTTAATTCAGTTTGTGAGAAATAGAGCAGGTTTAGATTTTTAGTATGGTATAGCTCTCTTTCAGTGCAAAGGATCTGAACAAGAGAAACATTCTGATTCTTCTTCTACTTTTTTTTTAAATTTTTTATTTTT